GCTGAACAGACCAGGGAGGTACTACCCTTGCTTCCCGTAGGGGAAATGACAGATGACTCTACCCAACAGAGAGAATTTGTTTGCTGTGTTTGTTTTTCTTTTAAAGATTTATTTATTTATTTTATGAATATTTTTATTTTTATTTTTTTGGCTGCATCGGGTCTTAGTTGCAGCACGCGGGATCTTTGTTGAGGCATGAGGGATCTTTCGTCGTGGCATGCGGGCTCTTCATTGTGGTGCTTGGGCTTCTCTCCATTTGTGGCAGCGGGTTTTCTCTTCTCTAGTTGTGGCGCGCAGGCTCCAGAGCGCATGGGCTCTGTAGTTTGCGGCATGCAGGCTCTAGTGGAGGCGGCAACCTTAGCAGTTGTGGCGCGCGGACTTAGTTGCCCCGCAGCATGTGGGGTCTTAGTTCCCCGACCAGGAATCAAACCTGCGTCCCCCAGTGGCAGATTCTTTACCACTGGAGCACCAGGGAAGTCCCTGTTTGCTATATTTGATCACTGGAGCTATCATTTTGGGAGCAAAAGTCCAAATGACGTCAGAATGACATCTTCCTTGACGCAAAGGAAAGCTGCCGGTAAAAATCGATCAAGTGTAATTGACTTGAGAGAGGACCAGCACACACAACACAGGATGCTGTACATGTGTGCCCAAGAAATCAGCTTTTATCCCTTGTAACCTGAATGTGGCCCGGTTTTACACTTCCTTTTCAAAAATGTCGTGGAACGGTTTTTCCTGATGCCCTGTTCTCAGGGCCAACTGAGAGGGCACAGAGGAACTCTGGGCATTCTTGGGATGGTTTGTTAAATGGGGCCAACCTCTGGTTAAAAGAGAGCAAGGTCAGGTGGGTGTGCACCTCTGGGGAGGGCCGTGATTCTGTGCTCTGTGGGTTCAGCGTGTGGTTTTGTCCCGCAGATTCATCGCTCACGCTGCAGCAGATGGTAGGCGTCGGGCTAGGCTCCCTGGCTGTTGTGATTGTCCTCGCATTCCTCTCCTTCTCAGCAGTGTGGTATGTGCGACTGTAACTTTTGAGGAATGAGTGGAATGGAGGGAGGGTGGGGCTGGAGTCAGGAAGAACAGCTGGGATTGAGGAGGGTCAGAGGGGGAGTGCGGGAGGTTGTCCCAGGCTCAGCAGGTGAAAGGCATGGGTAACTCTGCACCTCAGGAAGGAGGGGCATGCCCTCCAGTCCCAGGAAGAGAGCAGGGTCAGTGATGGCGCCCTGACCACTCACAGAGTCGTGGCTCATCTCCTGTACCGCTTCCCATGCACACAGGGGTGCACTGCAGGAAAACCTAAGTGTCAGTGAACTCTCTTTTCCTCCGCCGTGTCTAGATTGCCAATGCTGCGTGAAGAGGATGCACTGCTGCTGGGGCAGATGTTATGACAGCTTCTCAGGTGTCTGCACAGAGGCCCCGTGTGTGCGTGGGCCTGCAATCCCATTCCTGGATTCAAGACGGTGACTATCTCTTTGGAATCCCCCAAAAGGAGGACACTCGGGAATTGTTGATGTCTTCCCTGCTACACGACCAGTTCTGTTCTCTGAACTTGAGAACCCTGATGTACAATGTAATATTGACCACAAGCTACAGGTCACATGGACTGGCCTGTGTTCTTCTCTGAGTGATGCCTGAGAGTCAGCTCCTCTAGGCACTGAGTGCAAGAGACTGTCTGCCTCTTCCTTTATAGCATCTCTGTCATGAATTCAGAATCCATTCTTTTACAATAAGTAATGAGATAGCCTTAAGTGTGGGCTAGAATTTGACTTTATGAAGGAGGTCATTGCAAAGGCTAGAGATCATTGACATAGGCAAATACGGTAAACACTTTAGAAGCCCTTTTCCGACAATTGGTTGACACACTAATTAGAAAGTATGCTAGCCTGGCCACTCCAGTAAGTTCCCTGCAATATCTGTTAGGCAGTGTTGCTTTGATACAGTTCCTTTTGTCTTACATGTATTCAAAAGCCATAGCCTTCATTCCAGTAAAAATATTGTGTTAAGTTAGACAGTTCTCTTCCACATGAATGTTTAGAACAGCCTTGGCAAATTTTTTTTTCACTGAACATTTCCTAAAAATGCTCTGTGCCTCCTTTTAGACTTGGGGGTGGTGTGGTAACAATGGGTTGCAACACTATGAAGCCCACGGCCAGAGTCCTGTGTTTACAGGGGAGGGGAACAATGCGGGCGACACGATCGTCCCTTTTGTCTACAGCGTCAGTAACTATGAGCGTTACTTTATCATGAACCATGTCCCGGGCCTACTGTCAATATGCCGAATTTACAGATGGAGTAGATTCGATTTGACTTTTAAAGCCCGAACCAGTGTTCTTGAACTTTTCTCCCTAAACAACGACGTAACTCCAAGGCTCAGCAAGGAACGAAGAAAGAAGGATGGAGGCTTGTGGCTTCTCTAAGTGACGGCGGCGTCCCCTCTGCCTTCTCCCTCCCTCTCCAGGCCTAGAGAATAGAAAGCATGGGGAGGGGTGTGGGGGGGAAAGTGATATTGCCCAACTCGGGGTGAAGCATATATGAACGTGGTCCTAGCATTGGGCAACACCACAGTCCTGAGGAAAAGGGACAGTCTTTCCCACATGGTGGGCTGGCGTGTTCTCCACCGGCTCACTGGGCACCGGTGAGGGACACATCTGAGCAGCCTGGGCTTGTAGGCAGATGAGGAGACATGAGCAATGATAGGAACACGTGGCAACTGTCTGTGAAGCTGCTCCCCCAGGGGGATCTGACCCAAAGCATATCCTCTCAACTGGGAAGAGTCAGAGAGAGGGAAGTGATACCCTGATGCTTGAGTTTTCAAGGCCAGCTGTCGGCCCTGGCCCCAGCCAGTACTGGGCAGTATTAGGAATAATTGTCCTTTGTCCTCTGAGGTGTGGTCTCAGACTACAACTTAGGATCAACATTTAGAACACTTCCCGCTCTCATTCAGGTGAACCGTAGAGTAGAACTCTCAATAGACTAATACAAATAGCTTCCGACTTTTATTTTTTATGTGCAACAATTCAAACTCATACAGTTTTCACAGCTCTTGAATTAAATTTGGAATCTTTACAAATGATTTGGTTAGTATTCGGTAGGGTCTCTGATGAGTAAGGATTTTCCTCCAAGCCTCCTCTAACCAAAGAGAGAATCTGAGTTTCTCCCCCTTATTATCATTTTTTACCAGCTCTGTAAATACCATATGTTTCTGTAGTCCCCCTAATTTCAAGTTCTAGAATTAACTGCCAAAGAAGCTACATTTATCCACATGGGAACTTAGCATAATTGTCATTGAAAGGGAGAAGTCCTATTTGCTTGGTGTCAAAAGTTTCTCGTTAAGAAAACTGACTAAATATGAAATAAAATGTACTTCTGGGTACAGTGCAGAAATGTAAAAGCAGTTCGTGAAAGAATACTGAAATAACAAAAACATAGATTTTGTCCCTTCCTCTAAATGTTCCAAACGACAGCACAGAGTTGCTCAGTGTTAATACTTAACAGAAGTAGGTGCTGAGCATTTGCAAGAAGGATGCGCCATTTTCCTGCAGTTCTTTTCTGATCATTTTCTCATGCACATGAAGGCAGCCTTAAGTTCTCTGAATTCGCCTGGTAGCTTAACCACAATACCGTCCCTTTTTTTCCCAAGTGGATTCCTGGTTAAGGGGGGGGAGAGCATCTCAGGAGACCAATAATGGGTCTTCCTAGAAGCATGCAGGGTCCTTCTGTTGAAGGACTGATCAGGTAGCATTCAGAGTTGGGTTATGAGTGCCACTAAATAAAGCTAGTAGTGATAGTGATGGAAGAAGCATCTTTTCCTTAGTAACTGTCTTGGGGACAGTGTGTAGAGGCGAGTGCCAAGATCCAGTCTTGAGCTCCCTTCTAGACTAGGAATCAAAACGGAGGGTTGCCCAGATATGGAGTAGATTGTTCCCTGGCTGAATTTTTTTTTTTTTTTTTTTTTTTGGTGCCCATAGTTTTTATTTATCTCCACCATACTTTTTGTTTATACATGTTCTTTCATTCCATCCTCACAGCAGTTCTGTGTGGTGGGAAGGTTAGGAGTTATCATTTTCCCATTTTAGAGTGGAGAGATGGGTTCAGACAGAGACGTAACTTCAATTGTGGGGCCAGATAGTCTGCCTGCAAGTCCAGTTCTCATTCCTGGGACCTGACAGGACATTTCGGTTCCTGGGAGAGCTAGGCCTTTATATTTCCGAAATATATATATATATATATATATATATAGGCATTGTTTTTACTATTATAGCACCTGTGTCTTTTTATACTTATCTTTTCACTGTGATATACCTTCTCCCATCACTTCTAGAAGGAGCCACAAGCAACCAAAATAGATGGAGGTTAACTAGGGGAAATAGGTAATAGTCCATCCATGACCCCAGACCTAAAATTGCAGCTGGGCCCTTAAGATTAAGACCAGAGCAAAAGTCATTACCTTGAAATTCCATAGTGGATTGGAATAAAGTTAGTATTTAAATTGGTTTTAAAGGAGGTAAAAAAGAATTCTCAAGGCTCCCTTTTTTTGCTAATCTCATATTCTGATTTCCTAACCCTTTAATTTTTCCATTCCCTTCATCAGAGAGAAAACCAGTGGGTAGTAGACGTCAATCAAATGGTGTTTTAAGGACCGTTTGCCTCCCACATCCATCGTTGGTTAAACTCAAGTGCCTGATTTTGGAGAGGAAAGTGCGTGTGGATTTTTCTGTGTCCGTTTGTGGGCAGGTGATGCAGTGAGGCAAATCAGTTTAAAAAAGTGTACGTCCATTGTTTCAGAAAGAGAGAGAATGAATGAGTCATTCTGGACGTGTGTGTGTATCCATATCCATACTTTTTTGGCATAACTCAAGGTTACCAAAATGGGGTCAAACTAGGCATGTGGTTTGTAACATGCATTGGACAGATTTTTCGTGTCAATCACGATGGCATTAAAAGTTGGCACCATAATTTATTTAACTAATACTCTGTTGAGTATTGTGCATTTAGAGTATTTCCAGATGTTTACTATTCTTATATATGTCTGTATAATTGTATGCAGTTATCACTTACGCTAAATTCCTAGACTTGAAGTTGTTGGAATGAAAACTATATACATTGTAGATTTACTACATATTGTCAGAAGAATCTCAGAAAGTTTATACCAGTTTATGCTCTCACCAGCAGGAAGCCTCAACATACCTGGGCATCGTTGATATTCTTAATCTTGATTAATCTGGTAGGTGAAAAATGACCTTTCAATGTTTTGTTTGCATTTCTCTGACTAATTTCCATGTTGATTGGTCATTGGTAATTCTGTTGTGGTGATATGCCTTTTTTCTAAGTAGTTGGCTTGTCTTATATTGATTTGAAAAAGTTCTTTTTATTATAGTAATTTTCACTTTTAGCTGTCACACGTGTTGTAAACAAATTTTCTACTTTATTATTTCCCCTTTGTGTAGTCAAATGTATTTTGCCTTTGGTACCATGCTTAGAAGGACCTTCCAATCTCAAGGTAATAACTATAATTCAGCAGTTAAAAAAAACATTTAAATCTTTAATCCATCTGAAACATTTTAGTATAAGGAGTGAGGTCGGGAGGGGTCTTTTTTTATTCTTGCTAAATGGTTTAGCCAGTTGTTCTATGAATATTCCTTGACTGTTATTTTTTTCCCCTCGTGATTTGACTCGTACACTGAATCATATACTAGAGTCTATTTCTGAACTTTCTCTTTTGTTCTGCTGATTTATTTCTGTGCCAATACCACCTGCTATAAGTTTAAAATAGGTTTTTTTTTTTTTTTTTAGTACCAACTGAAAGTAAGTTGCCACCCTTTTTCTGTTAATTCTCAGAGTATTCTCAGGTTTTATTATATATTTATTCATGTATACATATTTATTATACATAAACTAAAGAATTATTTGGTCAAGTTCCCCCCCAAATCTTCATATTTTTCTCGGGGATGTATTAAATAAAGAGTGCGCTTATCCCAGAACACAATACGTGTCTCCATTTAATGTTTGTCT